GTAGAAGAAGGAGAATATAATAATTATTAAAATATAATATATATTAATTATTTTTCTTAACCAATACAATTTATTTTTCTTATAGTTAAAGAAAAATATTAGAAAATATAGATAAAGAACAAGAATCAAATTATTGTTAAAATATAATATAATATAATATAATATAATATATATTAAGTCGTTTCATTAGACAATAAGAATTATTTGTTTTTTCTTATAGTTTAAAGAATGGAAACAAGTCAAAAAATAAAGAAAAAAGGATGGAATTATGGTAAAATTATTACTAATGTATTTAGTTTAAATTTGTCACCAAGAATTTAATCTTTAACAGAAAAATTAATAGCTGTATGAAAAAATTAACCACTGTTAGGGATCTAATGTTTTGAAGACCAAAATATTAATGCCTTAAAATTGAGTGATTAAATTAAAAGATTCTTTTAAATGACCAAAACGTTAACGTACTAAAACTTGAACCACCATTTAGATAATTTAACTTTTTACCTTTTTTGTTATTTCAATTTAAGACTTAAATTTGTATTATTAACATATATCATTTTAATTTAGTATGTGTATATTTTATTTTTATTAAACAATTACCTTTTGCTTGTAGTTTAAAAAATGAAGGAGAATATAACTATTATTAAAATACAGTATATATTAATTATTTTTATTAACCAATACAATATTTTTTGCAGTTTAAAGTAAAAAAATAATAAAAAGTGTAGATAAAAAATAAGAATCAAATATTGTTAAAATATAATTTAATATATATTAAGTATTTTTATTTCACAATAAGAACTATTTTTTCCTTGTAGTTTAAAGAAGAACAGCTGTCGAGAAATAATAAGAAAAAAACAATGGAATTAAGATAAAAAAATTAGTACTAAGATATAAATAATAAATTAATTCTAAATTTATGACCAATAATTTAATATATAACCAAAAACACTATAGTTGGATAATTAAAATATTGTCTATTGTTCGGAATTTATTGTTCGGATGATCAAGATGCAAAAGTCTTGAAATTTGAGTGATTAAATTGAAAATAATTTTTAAATGACCAAAATAACAGTGTACTAAAAGTTGAATGACGATTTAGATTGTTTACCTTTTTTAACTTTTTGTTATTTCAAGATTCAAATACAAATTATTATATTGAATTCATGCTTTTTTAAATTATTAAATTACGATCAATTCTAAATTAGTTAAATTTAGATTAATAAATTATTATTTCGTATAATCAAATAAAATTACTTTTGAATTAAAATTGAATTTTTCAATTCGAGTTATAATTAAAAGTTGTAATCTAATATATATATATATATATGGGGTGTTTTAAAATTCCTTAGATAATGTGATGGTAGAAAAAAATGACTAAAATAAATTAAAGTGGAATAAATAATGTATAGGAAAAGATGACCTGGTCTTTAGACGTCTCTTGGGTTTTTATTATGTTAAGATTAATTTAAAAAAATCTTATTTTTCGAATGTCTTTCTAAAATGTCAAATGATTCAATCATTTTTTCACGTTAATAATTCATCTCACCTTAATTTAGAAAATAATTTTTCCAACCTTGAATAATTTTTTCCCAAATCATTATTTCATCGAATTTGTCATATGTATATATAATGGTAGTTGTTAATTGTGCTCTCGTATTTATTCTTGATTAGTTGTTGATTAATTTATTGAAGCTTTTATCCCTTTGATGGAGCTGTCCGATCCTGCTATCATGAAGAAGTACGGAGTCAAGCATGACCCTGAAATCGTAGACTTCGTTAGCGGCCTTGCTCAGCAAAAAGAAGTAACATTTCTTCACCCAAAATCTTTCATCAATTTCTATTATGAGTTTAGTAATAAAAACATATTTTTTAAAAAAAAGAACGAATATATTGTTTAAAATATTATTATAAATTAATAATTCTTTATTAAAAATAAATATATATTTAGTGTAATTTTATAGAATTATATTTTTAATCCTCAAAATTTATATATTCTATCGATATTGTCTTAATATAAAGTAATTTAATAATTTTAGCAGTTCATATTTAAAAATCCTATCAATTTAGGGGGTTGTTTGTTTACTTCAAACTGATTAAGCGCTGAATGATTCAAATACTGAATGATTCAAATGCTTAATGATTCAGAGGCTCTGTATGGATTAGCTCTGAATGTGACATGCTGTTTGATAATGGCTCTGAATAATTCAAAATGTACTTTTGTGCTGAATCATTTAGCACTATTTTGTTGAATCAGTCATCACTGAATCATTCAGAGATGCGAAACAAACGCGCTGAATGCTGAACGGTTCAGCATTCAGTGTTGAATGGTTCCATTAAGAGGCAAACAAACAATCTTTTAGTCTTTATTTGTGATATTTTCAAATAAGATGAGCTCATCAGATCAAAACAGTAGTTAGATTATTGTATTATATCGTAAATCAACAACAAATTAATGTTAAATTGTTATTATACTTTAAAAGTAATATAATATTTCTATGGAAAAACAAGTAATTTAAGAGAAGAATAAAGATTAAAATGATTGAATTTTTAAATATAAAAAATTAAATTTATTGAATTATTTCGAATCAAGATCAATTTTATAAATTATAAAATTTTTAAAGATTAAAATTATTATTCTATCCTGTATTCAATGATAAAATGATTTATTTGTAGTAATATTTTAATTGAATGGTATAATTATTATCAAATTTATAGTTAAATAATTTAACATATTTTTTTTCTTCTGAAAATTGGGTATGATTCTCAGATTGATGTTCTGATGAAAGTATATTGGGGTGATCCACGTGAGAAGTTATGTGAGGCCATTGATGGTATCCCTCTCATCTGCATGATTGATGATTGTAGGAAATAGAGGCCTCGGCAAGCTTAAAAGGTTTACATATTTCATCAAAACAATCTCACTTCATAATTTGTTAACTTTATATATATATAAAGAACTAATGTTTTATGAAATAAGCTTTGCAAATTTATAGCAACTTATTTTTTGCCTTATGATATTTTTGCCTTTAAGCTTTTTAAAAAAAAAAAATTTCAGTCGTTAAATATATATTTTTTAAATTTTTAATTTTTTTGTTGAATTGAACCAATTAATGGTAAAAAGTAATAGATTTCTAATAATTTGTATATTTATTTTTATAAAATTTAGTATTTTTTTCTAATTTTATAGTTTATTATATTTTTATAAAAATACCTCAAGCTTTTAACTTAGTTTAGTGGTTAAATCTTAGACCTTTGTAAGTTCGAATCTCACCTAAAATATTCTTATTTCTCTCATTTTCTTATTAATAAGATGATAAAATGTGTATATAACTTATTGGATGATATTTATTTATTAAAAAAATGACATATAAACATGTCACATCAAATCAGCTTTAGTTAATGACATGTTGACTCGGTGATCGAAAATGAAAATTTTCCTCAGCAATAATAATTTTAATAGAAGTTTTTCAATTATAATAACCAAAGTAAAAAATGTATTAAAATTTTAGTGACAGTTAGAGCCCGTTTGAATCAAGTATTTTAGGATTCTTGGTAGGTATATTTTTTTTCTGACTAAGAATACTATGTTTGGTTGGAATTCTTTCCAAAGGAGGGTAATATTTCTTTTCCAAGTGTATTTATTCCTGGAATGTTATTCCCACATATCCATTAGGTATTCTTTTATTCCTGTTTATCTCTGTAATGTCTTCTTCTCCCCGTGAGAGCTTGCCTCCCTCTGCGAAAAATTCATCGTTCTCCTAGTAATATTTCTTCTCCTCTCCCTTTCTTTATAGTGTTTTATTTGTTTAATTTTTTCAGGGTTTCAAGCACGTAATTTTTCTTTTCACTATTTCCTGGGTTTCGATCTTTACTTGTCTGAGTTCGTTCTCCAATCACACTAAGTTTTTTTTGGCTGAAATTCGATCTTATGATTTTTCTTAAATGTTGTTTTAACGATTTTAGTAGGATAGTGAACTCTATGTTTGATTTTTCTGTTTGATTACTGAGAAACCGTGGAGAACGTGGAGAGACGATCGATTAGCTCAACTGATATGACCTGAATAGTAGTGCATTTTTCCATTCATTTCTTTTATAATTATTGAAAACTTAGTTGTTGGAAACGAAATTTATAGCTCCACAGAGAATATCATATATGTAGTTGTCTTTCCCTTTCTCCACATTTCCTCTTTAATGAAATACAGAAGATTAGTTTGTTTAAGATGATACTGAATCAATTACACTGACTATTTCTGTTTTTCTTTTGCTCTCGTCTTTTGGCCTAAAAACTTTTGCATTATCATGGCTGATGCGAATTTGGTTTTGTTTTATTGATGTTATTTGGATGATTTGTCAAGGGATTGTAGTCTTTTCTTACTTTGCAAAATTTCCTTAATTTGAATACTTTGAAATGGTTTCAAGGCCCAAAGTTTTTGAATTAATTTATTATGGTTTTCCCCGCTTTTAAAACTTCATAAATAGTAAGACATGCTACATTGTTTACGGAGAACAGTTTATTTGGAGCAATATTTTTAAAACATCAATCTTGTTTACGAACTTCCCTTTTTTAGTTTGTCTAAATGAAATGTGTAACTTATGTAGGTCCATTTAGTTGTTTTAACAGATAATAACTTGATCTATATTTTCGTGGTTTGTAGTAGCAACATATTGGATTATGTTATCTTTATTTTTGCGCATATGTGTATGTGCTTCCCCATATCAGTACGTTATGGCGTACTGGTTTTAGGAACTTAGAGTAGAAATGTATTGATTATAGGTCAATGATGCTCCGCTAAATGTTAATTGGTTCAAAATATTAGTAATTACAGATCATTAATGATGGAATGTTTGGAAATATTATTCCATTTATCGTCTACTGTATTTTTAATCGAAATTTAAAATCAAATTTGGTATCTGGTTGCATTACATGTCTGTCTTCTATCAACTGGAAATTATAATGTGTATCTGGTTGCAGTCTTCTATCAACGGATCAGCAACAAATCTTCCAGACAGTAGTGGACGTTCTTTTGCAATATCTTTCTCTGGTCAGTCTGGTACAACCTCTCTTGTTTTCCATCATGCTGGTGGGTATATTTTACTGGATTTCCACACAACTAAGTTCTTCGAAACTCATGCTATTGTTTGTTTTGCAGGCAATATTCAGGGCTTGCATAATATTCATGGTAGCTTTAATGTTCCCAACATGCCTGGTACACTCACATCAAGAAACTCAACATTAAGTAATGTTCCAACTGTTGGGGTTCAACAACCTACTGAAAGCTTTTCTGGTGGAAGATTTGCATCAAATAATCTTTTTGTTTCTCTTTCTCAGGTGCCTATAATATTCCCATCATACTGTGATTTAACTTCCTATGATTGTTGCAACAGAATTTATTTATGTTTCCTTCACCCTTCATGCATGTCTTTGGGACAAAAACAAATAAAAAATGAAAATCAATAGGAAGGAATAGAATCTTACATTCTTGTAACATGTACTTCATTTTCTTATGAATGCCATTTTACAGTTATCTCATGGCAGCTCCCACGGACATTCAGGAGTAAAAAATAGGGGAGGTAGTGTGTAGGAAACCTGGATTTAATAGCAAACAATGGATTTTCTGCTTGAAATGACTCTAGACAGTTTAATTGTTTGGAGCTAAGGCTTACCTTAACAACGAGTTAAATTGGAGATGCCAATCAATGTGATAGCCTCCTACTTGTAGATTTCTGCTTGGCTGTGTGTTACCAATGTGATTTTTAAAAGCCTTTACTTGTAGATTTTTGCTTGGCTGTGTTTATAGTTAAATGAGAGTCTCACTGGCTCTGTTTTTAAAAGATTGCATTCTTTTTTCGGTTGTGTTTGGTAGAGAAATCGGTCGATGGGAAAAAAAAATGGTGATGATGCTTCAATACCGATCGAAATTGGTTCTTCGCATCCTGGTATTCCATTATTTACTTCTTCTATTCTCCCCCGCCCCCCTTTCCTTTCATTTGTTTATGTTGTTCATTGATTTATCAGTCAGAGACCTGTTTGGTTGGTTCTTTTTTATTATTTGATTTTTGTTTTGAAAATATTGAAAACAAATGATGTGTGTGATTATGAAGCTATATTTGGAAGAATTATGCATCAAATATGTAACTTTTCATTGAAAATATGAACTGCAATCATAGACCCTTGATATTTTCAGGTGCCACAACAAAGAAATGGTAAAGAATGTGGGAACTTTATTCTCTATTTCATAAAATCATTTATCGAAAGCGCCCCGGAGAACTTTAGCATTGAAGGCTACCCTTACTTTGTATATTCTTTATTTAGTTTAAAAAGTGTATTTTTTCGATTGTGGATTATAAGTATGATGTTGAGGTACGAATTGTCTATTTTACTTTGCAGATGAAAAATGACTGATTCAGTGTTGAAGAAGTGGAACGCTTTTGTGAGAGTCTCGATTCTCCGACATGTGATTTTCATTAACTTTAGAAATGACATTTTTTATGAGCCTTTTTATGTGATCGATTAGCTTAGATGAGTGTAGATCAGCATCTATGAACTCTTTGTATGAATCTCGTTTCATTTATGAAGCATATTTTTTCAAATGTGGATTATAAGTACTAATTGCCCATTTTACATTGTTGATGAAAAAGAACTGGTTCAATGTTGAAGCAGTGGAACGCTTTTACGAGAGGCTTGATTCCTCGACAAGTGATTTACGTTAGTTTTATGTAATATAAATTCATGAGATAAATAATAATGATAAAGTATGCAGAATTAAGTATAAATATAAAAGATAAATAAATAAATTATTGTATATATAAGATATAATAAATATTATATCTTAAATAACAAAAATAAATTACAACTTTTTATTATTATGAATATTTATGAAGAATTTTCACAAGGTAAACATTTTGTTAAATGTTGATGTAAAATTTTAATATATTTTTACATTAATTATGTAAATTTTAATATTAATTAAAATTAAAATAATACATGATATATTTAAATACTCAAGTAATATATTATCAATAAATAGAATTTTTATATAAATAATTTTTATTTAAATATTTAGAATTTTATTTGTTAAAAAATATAGAACAAAGATAATTTGGTAAAATATATATTCCTGTAATTTTTTATTCATGTAATCTTTTATTTCTTTAACCAAACCTTGTAATCTTACATTCCTGCCAAATCAATCAAATACAGTAATTTAACATTTCAAATAATCTTATTCCTTAATAATTTTTTATTCCTACTGATAATTTTACAGCTTTGTAAGTTTAGTAGACAAAAATAAAGAAATTGAAAATTAAAATGGAGAGGAAAAATAAGAAGGAAAATTCATACTCGCAGTATCCTTTACCAAAGCCATTTCTGGAAGAGCAAAACCCTCCGGTTTTTTCAGTCCTTGTAATTGGACAAGTGTTTGCATTTATTCTTTATTATTTTTCTTCATTTTTTTGTTGCTTTTTCTTACCCTTTGTTTGTTTAGTAGGAAAATCTTGTAGTCAGCTTTGATCTTCAAATGTGTGAACTTTGAAGCTAGTTTCTTGGGAAATATAATCTTTTGTTAAGCTCCAAGTTGTAGTTTTTAGGGTGAAAAATGCAGTCTTTGAGAAATTTAGACTTATAAAGGATCAAAGATGAGTAAATAAGTGTGAGATTTAGAAATCTGCTGAAATTTCTACATTCTTTTTTCATTTATTGCAAATATTATGATTGAATTTCTTTTGTGGTTTCCATTGCTTTCTAAATTTTTTCCACTTGTCTGTTTTTAGCTTACTTTTGTCATTTGGTGTTTAAAGAGTTGGATTCCGTGGCCATTATGGAAAGCATTGGTGGGTCGGAGTTAGCCGTAGCTAGAGGAGTGGCGTTTCACGCCGTCGGCGCGTGACTCCGCAGCTGTTTATTCATAATTACATTTTAATGTCATCACCAAACCCAACCATAAGTTGTAGTGGAAGTGAAGAGCAAAATTTAAAGAATGGTTCTAAATTTGGATGTGAGAATAAGCTGAAATTTAAGCTCAACCTTGGTTGGGTTACGCGTACTATCCACACTACCTTCACATCTGATCATGCCTTTGGTGGTGAGCCTATCTTAATTAAGTCTTCCCATTTCTCTGATGTTGCTGCGGAACCTTGGTTGGGTTACGCGTACTATCCACACTACCTTCACATCTGATCATGCCTTTGGTGGTGAGCCTATCTTAATTAAGTCTTCCCATTTCTCTGATGTTGCTCGGAACGGAGAAAATTCCCTTTTCCTGGTATTTTCATCTAAATCCTACTGTGCAGTCTGCTTATACCGTTTGTATAGAATTTATTCATCATGATATGCAATCTATTGTTGAAATGATCCTTCTCTAATCCATTTATCATTGCTATGGGAAGAGGCTTCTCGAACAGGTTTCGGGAATGCAAGTCTTTGATCTAGTCTCATTGTCATATCTTGTGTGTATATATAGATTTATCATGTCTGATTTGTTCTTTGGGTATTCTTTATAAAACAATTTAACTTTTTTTTTGAGCTGATGGTTTGTTGCATTAACAATCACAGCAGAGCAAGAAAGGCTCCTATCTTCCTGGTAAGGGAGGAGGCTATGGAGTTCAATGGAAGGATTTATCCAGAAGTGGCTCTAGTTACGGAAAGGGGCTTGAGAATGAAACTGACAGAAACGAGCCAACTCGTAAGAGCAAGCGGTTCCTAAGAGGCGTGTCTTGGATGTGGGTATAAATAGTGATGATGATGATGGAGAAGACGAGGAAATCCGTTATCTAGGGAGACTGAACGCATCAAATGGTCTCTCGAATCATAAAGATGAAGAGGACGCGGGAAATAGGATATATGGTGCTATTTTCGAGGATAGAGATTACGTGGAAGAATACGAGTGTGAATCCGACGATGAGCAGAAGCTGGGAAGGGGACCGTTTGATTTGTTTGTCGAAGGATGAACCGAAGCAACTCCCAGTACACACAATCGAGGTCTTCAATCCTGGAAAGATTTTTTATCTGGTTCAGCTGCCGGTCTTGTTGAGTTCCCCAACGGCTGCACCACCTAAAAGTTAGCAACTCCCTCACTCGCTACTTCATTTACTTCCTTTTGTTCTTTCCCCTACTTTAATCTTCTCTCACTCAACTCCCTTTTACTAAACTTGGGTTGGTAATAATTATTCAGCTGCAATGTGTTTTTAAGTATGTTTGAGCTTAAAATGCTAAACGTCGTTGAATTGTTTGTTTTATAAATGATCATTGATTATAGAACAAAAAGGAAAACTTTCTGAAGTGGAGCTACAGTTGAAGAAGGCCGAGGCTGCACAGAGACGAAGAATGCAGTCTGAGGGATGCCGAGGTATTACCCGTTGTTTCTCTTGTTCCTTTGATTAATTTTACTACTGCTTCACGATCATTCTAGAAATGGTATTTTAGTAGGGTCTTTGAATTGTCTTAGGTTGAGGCAATCAAAAAAATACTCGGTCCAGATGAAAAAGCAGAGGGACGAGTTTGCACAGGTCCGTGACCCTTTTTAGGTATCATGCATCTTTCTGTCTGCTTTGTAGAATTCTCATTCATTTTGAAGTTGTAATCCATACAGGGAAAGGCTACCAAATCCGAAACTCTTGCATCAAACACGGTGAGATGGGTTATGAGTCCTAGTGGAACAACGGTTATATTTTCTGAAGACATTGGTCTACCACCGCTATTCAATTTGGTGCCATCAAGGTACTCTTACAAATCCATTTGTCTTGTGCTTTTGATGACATATATATGCTTTTAATGGTCATTTCTTCGTGTTAAGCATTTCTTTACCCTCTAGTTATCCCCAACTATGAGAAAAATGCGCCAGTCCGAATTGTACAAATACATACAAGTATTGAGATTCCAAGTTGAAGCTTACATTATGCTGTCTTGGTTGCTACAAAGCATACATGCAAAACCTCAACCTTGGATTGCATGTTGAGATTTGTCCCTCCCATATCACTGACCGATGCGGAAGCCGGAAATGGTTCCTTTACATCATTTACGAGATGATAATGGAAGGTGACCATTGATGTATGCTGTTTTTCTCTTCTAATGTCCGGAAATGTGTTCATACTTAGTTCGAAGTATTATTTTATTATATATATGATTAAGGAAAAAATGTAAGTCAAATTAATTGGCTGTCAATCCCAAAGCTCCAGCCTGCATTGTAAGATCTCATTCCCATGTCCTATTCAAAGCTATTTGATCTCGTTTCTTGTTTTACTTGCCATTCTATGTTTTTCTTAGTGCTTGTAATCATGCAGTTGTCTGATTCATTACTTCTCCGACATTATGACATCAAGTAGATTGCGACATATAAATATTACTCTGGCACTTCATTTTTTTAAGTATTTATGTCCAAAATATCCGAATTGTTCGTATATTCGAAAAAGAAATTTTGTATTCAATTTTAGGTAACATAGTTTGATTACCATAAATGATGATGGTAACCTTGGAAGCATCAAAATCTTCTTGTTTACAGCATAGAAATAGTTGAAATTGTTGACTGCTGCTAGTTAGTTTCCTTGAGGGATCTTTGATCATATTAGTAATCTCTTAGTTTCCATTTCTGTATACAATGGGAAATGATGTGTGTTCTTGGTACGACTTTAATGTTTATGCAGCTCCAGATAAGTCGAGTTCTTCCGGCAAAAAATTCAAGAGCTTTAACATCGGTAATCAAGGAAAACAAAGTGATTTTTATGGAGTTGAAGAGTCGGGTGAAACGGGAGCCGTTGATTCCTTTCCTTGTTATGGATTCTATGGAGATGAATCAATGGTTGCCACAGTTTCGGTTTATCGAAACAAGATCCGCAGCAGCAACAGAATTTTAAGGATTATGGTCTTCTTGATGGAGTGAGTTTCAATAATCAATCTCCATCGATTCTGACTTGTTTCGATGAAATCACAGAGCTTGGTCAGATCAACTATGGAGTCTGTGAGGATATTGATGAGGCAAAGAAGGAGAAACAGCAGCCTCTTTGTTTGTCTTCGCTTGGACTGCTGACCAACTATGGCAACGGTTTGAAACGGTTTCATGGGGAAAGAAGAAGCAACTATGATATCACCATATCCGGCACTCGGGATGATGAAGATCGAATATTTTCGACTGAAGAAATCATGAGGATTGCTGGAGGGATGTTGACGGAATCTCCATGATTCATCATCCTTTTAATGTTTCTTTTTCGGAATTGTCCGACCGGGAGACGAGAGATGTCGAGCTTGCCGTGCTTCTTCTAGCTGCTGCAGAGAAAATAGGGTACCAACAATATGAAAGTGCAAGCAGATTGCTGAAACAATGTGATTACATGTCGTCGAAACCGGAAATCCGATTCAGCAGTGGCCTATTATTTCACCCAAAGAAGTTCGTTGAAGAGTTTAAGGTGGAAACCATTGTTTAATTTCGATGAGGCAATGATGACCATGAACCCCATTGTATTGGCATGCCATCAAGAATTTCCTTTTGCTAAGGTTACACAGTTTACCGGGATTCAGGCCATTGTGGAAAATGTTGCCGAGGCAAAAAAGGTTCACATAATAGATCTTGCAATAAGACATGGTGTTCATTGGACTATCTTAATGCAAGCTCTTGCATCTCGACAACAAGAATGCCGACTGGAGCTCCTGAAAATAACCGCTGTTTCAACCGAAGCAAAGGCTATAGTCGAGGGCACCGGCAAGAGGCTCTCGAGTTTTGCTCAGAGTTTGGGAGTACCCTTTGCTTTTAAGGCTGTTATGGTCTCAGATATGTTGGATCTTAGAGAAGACCACATTGAAATCGATGCTGAAGAATCCATTGTCGCATACGCATCGTTTGCTTTCCGGAGAATGCTCGTGATGCCAAACCGGATCGAAAATATAATGAGGGTACTCAGAGTTATGAATCCTTGTTTAATGGTGGTAACCGAAATCGAAGCCAACCATAACTCGCCCATCTTCGTGAACCATTTCATCGAAGTACTGTTTTTCTTCAGCGCATACTTCGATTGCACTGCAACTTGCATGAAACAGGATAAGAAAAACAGAGAGATCGTTGAATCAGTGTTCTTTGGTGAGGGAATTTGGAACATGATTGCGGCAGAAGGCGATGAGAGGAAGGTACGGCACGTGAAGTTCGACGTTTGGAGGGCGTTTTTCGTTTGGTACGGGATGGAGGAGGCCAAGTTAAGCATGTCATCCATGTACCAGGTAGACCTTATTCTCAAAACTATTGCCGACGGGACTAGTTGTTCACTTCATATGAACGCCAAAACACTACTCATCGGTTGGAAGGGAACGCCGATGCATTCCATTTCGGTTTGGAAATTTCTATAATGTCTCTAATCGTTAATGCTTCCCACGTCTTCTTGGATGCTGCATCAATAATAATACCAATCCAACTAATTAGTTTCGATTTATATATACCCATTAGACTTAATACAAAAATAATTTATCATCTTAAATGCATTGACCGTAAGAGTTTTTAAAAATTCATGTTAAATATTATATATTTCGTATTCATGTAATTTTGATTTTTTTATTTAAAAAAACTTGCAATATTATTAATTAAAAAAAAAACCAAACTTTTTAAAATTAAAAAAAACCTTAAAACTCTAAAATCCTTTATTCTAATCCCATACCAGGATAATAGCAACAAAAATAACAAAAAGCAATCCCATACTAATAATCGACAGCCATCACCGGACATCTTTGCCATCATCGAACGGACATTCACCAATTGTAGGACCTCTTTTGCCGATCATCTCTTGTCGTCGTCCTAATCCTCCTAAATTCATAAATCCCAAATCCATTAGGTTATTTTGTTATTTTTGGAGAGGGAAAGTATGCATGATGCACGAAATTAGTAACAATGCAACAGCTGAGAGGGAAAACAACGGAGAGGCGATGATGATGTGTTTGTTGAGCAAAGATTTGGGCGCATAAATGACACAATCAGTTTAGGGGTTCGACGAATGACAACGAAAGTAATGACGGTCAGCGATGGGTTAGTGGTTTGACGACGACAACAACAATAGCAGCTGATGATGGCTGGTAATGGGATTAGAATGAGAAATTTTAGAATTTTAGGGCTTTTTGTAATTTCAAAAAAGTTTGAGGTTTTTCAAAATTGATAATATTTTAAAAATTTTTAAATAAATTTTTTAAAATTATATAAATGTGACAGTGTCACTTAACGAGATTTTTGACCGTTATTGTCGGGACATTTAAAATGAAAAATTTGTAATATTAAACCTGGATTGACAAATAATTTAGAGAACTAAATAAGGAAAACAATATGGTTTGAGGCTTATTTTTATATCATGTCTACCAGACACCGTATATATGTTCCAAATGTGGGGCTTGATTTGACGCATGCATACATAAACAAAGATCGAGTAAATGATAAGGAACAAAAGATTCTTCCATATTATTCTTTTCATATTTGATTCAATCTGAATCCAAATAACAAAAAATTATTAAAAATTCTAAGTCGACATATCATTAATTAAATATATTGAAACCTCAGAGGCTTCAGGCAGAAGATCAAAGAAAAAGTAGCAATGAATTCACAACGCTAACCCTAATTTGCTGTCAAGAATATTATCTCTACACCTCAAATTTCAACCATAAACTTTATTCTTCTTCCTGTATTTTACTTTTCGAATTCGAATATAAAGGTTTATATTTAAAAAAACCCATATCTTTTCTTATCTATATCTATATCGTTGTTTATAAATATGAAGGTGGAGGACAAGCCCGGCCAAAAGCAAAGAGAAGAAAAGAAAGAAAGAAAACCAAGGCCATGGGGAGGAATCAGCAGGTGAGGAACCATGTGAGTGATTCAGTAGAACGTGGAATCGATAGGCTGCACCACGTAGCGGATCGGTTCCTGGTTTACCCTTTGGCTGCCGTCGAGGGTGCCATCCAAGGCGCCGCTCGAGGTGTTCACAACATCGCCACTCATAAACACCATTCGGATCGAGCCATGGGTGCTGGCCACAACAGCAAGTACAAGAGCGGTAAACCACATGGTTCTGCAGGTGGATCGCAGCATGTTAGACCATCACCCTATGAGTTTTACAGTGTTACTCCCGCAGCTGCTCCGACAGCACTGGCCGCACCACCGTCACAGTTTCAGTATCACTACCACGGCGCGTTTCCGGTTCCTTGCCGCCCTGCCTACTAGTTTATGAGAGCAACTGTTATGGTCTTATAGCAATAACCATGCCAAGTATGTAAATGAATATAATGAAACAGAAAACATACGTATACGTGTGTTGCTTCTATATATCACCTTGGACTTGATTGTATTAAGTTTTAACGTTTTATTAGGTAAATCTTATGGGATGGGTTGAAACTAATGTTTTAAATAATAGATGTACTTTATAAATCAAAGTAATTTATTTACATGTATTACAACTAATCAAAAGCTACATTTTTACTTTAGTTTATCTGTTAAAATAAAACTACCAAATTATTAATAAACTTAAGTGTAAATAGAATCAAGTTCAAATATAAAAATTTTGAACTCATAAATAAATTATTAATTATATAATTATATCTTGATGAAAAGAGTGCAAGTTAATAAATCATAGAATAAATACATCATAACATTGCAAAAGAAAATCAAAATTGTAATTTGACTCTAAAAAATCTTTTTGTCTCAAAAACACTTTTGATAAACAATAAAAAAGCAGAATCTTAATTTTGTTCTTATTTCTATTAGTTCAAACACAATTTAATTAATTCAAGGTTCAAATGGGCTATTTTTTAGGGATTGTGTCAAAATACCTGTATAATTTAGGTATTGTATAAAAAACATGAGAAAATGAAATTGTAAATGCCAATTTGCTAATATGGATATGAAATTGAGAATAAGGTTGGGAATTTATTCCACCCCAACCCCAACTTCAAAGTGGGTAATACCAAATTCTATTGTACAAATGGGTCTAAAAATGAGGTTTTAATAAAATTAGGCATACTAATAATATTATATCATTCCTCTCCACCCACCACAAAAACTCAACACTTGTGCATACCAAATTTTACTGCCCATTCGTTCACAAAGCTTAAAAAGTATAACAACTGATTTTTTTTAATAAAAAAAAAGAAAAAAGGAAAAAGAAGGTGAAAAGTTAGACCAAAAAGCAGG